TCCAGAAGGTAGTGCTGGGGGACCATGCCTCTACGTCATGGCAGCTATGCCATGGAGTACCACAGGGCTCCATTCTATCCCCTTTGCTATTTAACATCTATATGAAACCGCTGGGAGAGGTCATCAGGAGGTGTGGGCTGCGGAACCATCTCAAACTAGTAACACTACAAGCTTTGCCTAGGCAATGTCCAATGGTGTTCTGATGTCTCAAGAAGACTCAAGAAAGGTGGTCTTTCTGCTACCTGCCAGCTAGCTACAAATCCCTTTGAGCTCAGTGCTGGCCTTGTATTCTTGCAAGCAAACACTGGCATTACTTTATGTCCATGAGAGAAGCCAGATTTCTCTCGACCTTGCCTTAGTGTATGGAGAATAATATTGTGGCTCCTGAGAAAGTGTTTCCCATGCCTGATTCAGGCTGGAGAAAGAAATCAACAAAAAGACATTGCTGTGCTGCATAAAAAGGCTTCACACCCACCCAAGCACTTACACACATGAGCAAGTGTATACGCAAGCGCACAGAGAGGGAGAACTATCAAATTATTAAGTTTGCATCTACTAATATAAAGGTGCTGTGTTCTAGCATGAGACAAGCACAAATATGTAGGCAAAAGGCACAATAGTATGCATGTTTAGACAACAAGAGGGCCTGCGAATCCCAGCATGCTGCAGCCAGCTAGGCTTTTCTTCTGTTTGAATATGCATAAGATCACACCCTAGAAGGTTGCAATTTACAGCCACTTAATGCAGAACAAATCTGTTGACTTTAACAGGGCTATGTCAGTACATGAAGATTCCAAGGCACCTCAGACTTCTCTAATATCCAGGATCTTTTCTTACTCCTGAAATAGGAGAACACTGTGCTGCTTGCTTGCAGCAGGCCAAACCTGCCTCTTTGAAAATACACCCTGGCACTATTATGTTGTAAAGCTCCTGACTGAAAAGCCCACTCAGAGCCTCCAGCTTTCAAGGGAGGCCCCTCAGGTTCTTTTTCCTCCTCCTGAACAACATATGTAACTGCTAGCATACAAAGGCCAGAAAATAATGTCCTCTTCTGATAGATGAAGTACAGCTGAGTAGGAGCTCAAGCTAGCCTGTTAAAAACAAAGGCTCTGTGGTGGGGAAGAAGTCATTTTCCTGTCACTTGGACTAGGACTGCCTGGTGCAATGCCCAAACTGCATTCTCAAGAAGTCAGCAAACAGCAACCAGGTAGGGTTACACAACATGATGCAAGGAGTCCCCTCTCTTTTGTGTCTCGCCTCACACACACAAGAAGTGAGGGCTGTTTGCAAGATGCATCCCTCTGGGGCCTTGCATCAGGCTTCTGAAAGTTGAGGAGCTTTCAGGCTTCTGAAAGTTGAGGAGCATGGGGCAGAACTCAAAGCAGAGAGTGACTTTGTCCGGAGAGGGGAAAAAAATCATTTTTTTCTGCTTTCCAGTTCTGCAGTTTTTCATTTTCTTGCAATAGTATGCAAAACCAATCAATGATTACTCCCTCTAGTGGGCACAAAATGGTTAAGCCTTGTGTCATTCAGAAATGTACTCAATGAAAACAACATACCTTTACTATCTAGAGGCTATGACTGGTTCTGTGCTGATAAATGCCAAATCACGGGGAATATAGCATCACGGAGTCAGATACAATACAATACAATACAATACAATACAATACAATACAATACAATACAATACAAGAGTGAAGCATCCCTAATGTAATGCAGAATGGAAGATGGTTACGAATTAAATATCTATTCAGTAAGGGATTTTTGGCAAGTATTAATTCTGGAAGGAAGCTGTTTGCAAATAATAAATCAGGAAGGACTGCTTCAGAGGGTTGTGACCTGTACATTTCATGACAGAACATTTCTCTTGGATTCTTTTAAATATTAATGCAAAATGTATTGTATTCTCCTACTTAATTGAAATACCTTGCTCTAGAACACTACACTACACTACACAGACTTATAAAGCTGTCTTCGATTTTACAGAAATGGTTTCAGTTATGTAAGATATTCTAAGCTTCAGTCCTTTGGCCCTCTTCCCTTTCTTCCCTCCGCAGCATCAAACTGTGGTTTGAGACCCTGGCTGGTTCTGGAGCTATTGATAAGTTTCCTTGTTTGGGTTCAACAGGAAATTGTGGTTAATTAGTGACTTTCCAACAGGGAATGCAGATGCTCAGGATGTGCAGCCAGCTCCACTCATGACATGCCCACCATGTGCACGTCCAGCCTATCCTTGAACACCTGTACTGATGGGGCCTCAACGACCTCTCGTGGAAGCCCATTCCACACCCTCGGGGTCCTAACTGTCAGGAAGTGCTTCCTGGCATCCAAATGGAACCTTGGCTCCCTGAGCTTTGCTCCATTGGAGCGCGTCCTGCCTTCCTCTGCAGGGGAGAACAGGTCTCTACCCATCTCCATGTGACATCCCCTCACATACCTGTATGTCGCCAACATATCCCCTCTGAGTCTCGTCTTCTCCAGGCTGAAGAAACCCAGTTCCTCAGTCTTGCCTCATACGGCATCCCCTGCAAACTGGCCACCAACCTTGTGTCCCTACACTGCACTGACTCTAACCTGGCTCAGCATTAAGAGCTCAATCCAGTGCATGCTAAGAATTAACTCCCACTGAAGCTGCATTCCTGTAATCACTTACCTCAGAGCTGCTGCCCTGGAAGTCCATGTGTTTTGTTTCTACAGGAAGTGTGCATCTCAACAGGTGAGCATAGGATCGCACCCTCATTAGGCCTTAGCGAGACAGGGCAAATTCCACTAAGCAAACTAGAGCTTTTTTGGTGTGAGCATGCCTAGGACTGGACTGTAATTCAATAATTTCAAGCAAGTTGTGGTAAGATTTGTGGGAGGGTGATGTACCTCCTGCTCTCAAACCATGCAAAGCGGGGGGGGGGGGATCTAAAACTAGCATAGATGTGTCAACCTCATATTCATCAGGAAGAGAACATGAGCCATAAAATATGTAAGTGCTGTGACGTTTGTTTAACCCAATGTCAGCCTACAGACTGGATACAAGGAAATCAGCGTATGTTTTCTGCATCAAAAACCTTAAAATGTTTCTTTGTTTCCCTTTGCTTTAGGGAGAACACAATCAGCAGAACAAGCATGAGATAAATGCCAATCAATCTCAAAAGAACCTAGTGGATGTCATCCATATTATTTCTTCTACCTTTCAAAATAGAGCCAGTGTAGTGTAGCAGTTAAGAATGCCGGATTGAGATTCAGGAGATCTGGCTTCTAGTCCACCATTAGGCCATGGAGCCAACTGAATGACTTTGGGCCAATAACAGAATCTCAGCCGAACCTACCTCACAGGGCTGTCATTGTGGAGATAAGATTTTGAGCAGTGGGAGGAGAATGATATAAGCCACTTTGAATTCTTTGCAGGAAAAAAGAGGGGATATAAATTTAATAAATAAATGCAGATTCTTATTTGCAGGCTTAAAACATTTGTAACCTTCCTCCACCTGGAACCCCTCAAAAGTGTTAGGCTACAACTCCTGGCATCCTCAGGCAGCATGGGGCCAATGGCCAGCATTTGGGAAGTTCGCTCTAAAACATTCCAGGAACCGGGACTAGAAGCCCCATCGTAAATGTTTTTACTTCGAAGCAAGACTGGTAAGCTCACAAAAGCAAGTGCGTTAGAAATGGAAGCGTTTCTAAACCACATCCGACACCATCCACGCTCATGTTGACTCACAAGTAAGCCCTGCTGAGTTCCACAGGGCCGCGCGTCCAAGGAAGCACACGCATTTCATGTTCTCACGGCTACATTCGCCCTCGTCCGCCCCTCTCCCCTTTACCCCTAGAAGAAAACGAATGACAAAACGTGGCGAGGGGGCTGAACGTGTTGGCAAATGTTTTGATATGCTTAGCACCGCCAGCAAGCACGAAAGAAAGGCGTTCAACCCAAGCGGCTGCGTGCTACGATCTGATAGCTCCGGCGAGGGCATTCCAACCAACCTGGCTTTACCGAGAGCACCGCGGAGAAGGAAGCGGGTGTGTTTCACGAGCACCGCGCTCCGCTCCTCACGTTCACTCGCAGCAGGGGGAGGGGCAGGCTGGCAGCTCACAGCTGTCCGCGGCATATCGCCGGGATCGTTCGGCCCACCCCATGCCCACCCCTTTCTTCCTCACGGGGCGCCCTCGGAAATCTGCTAGGTGATTGGATTACCTTCCTTTCAAAGGAAGGGGGTGAAGGGACGGGGACGCACTAGGAAGTACACCGCCTCATGATGCAATCCCTCCAACCACGTGTTTCGGGCCCGCGTTGCTGAAGGGAATCGGGTCTACTTCGGAGCAAGTGGCCCGGCCCTCGCTGGGTCCTGCGCGAGGGAACGGCAGGGGCGCAGTACGCCGGGGCCTCCCGCTGTGTAAATGCGCGAGCGAGGATGGGGCCGCCCTCCGCTCTGCTCTGGACCTACTATTCCAAATGGGCTAATTGGGGGGCTGAAGCGCCCTCGAATCCCGCGGGTGGTCTACTCAGGAAACGCTCTGAGGGTCGTGCAGCCCGAACTTGTTTACTTAGAAGCATAAACCCCATTCATTTCCATGGGATTTACTACTAAGTATGTGCGTATACAATGGCAACCTTAATCTATCTGAAACAAGCCTTCCTAGAAAGTCCTTTAAAATCGACCGAAGTAAAACGATTCATTTGCACTTGGGGATTTAAGTCAGATGAATCCGTCTCGAACTCTCCTCCTTTACGCATTCGCACCCTCGAGTATTTGCTTGAAAGTAACTCCTCGGAAATTGACTGTCGAAAACCACAAGAAAAATCTGCAGGAGGAGAAAGTAACGGATCGGGGTGTATATTGGTAGGATCTGAATCCTCAGAAATAAATCCTCCTCTGAAGTAAACGGCTTGTTTCCACAGCTACAAAGCGGACGAGAGAAAGATCTGTCTTCACTGATTAGGAAAGAAACGATCCAAACAGCGATCCCATATACACAGCCCAACTCCCGTCCAACTGAGGGGGACTTACTTCCGAGTAAGTGTGCATGGGATGGGGCTGCATGGATCCTCGCCGTTCATTCCCCTTTGTCCGCGGGTCACATTTCTCCACCCAGCCCCCTCCCGCTTTGTACGGTGGGTGCAAACTGTTCTTGAAAGAATAGCGCGATCCCCTCCAGGTTTGTGCCCAGGATAGTTCTGTGACAGCCCCGTCCGCGTAACAAGGAGGCGAGGGCGCGCGTGTGATGATGTGCCGGGGGCTGGAGAGGGCGAGGCAGTTGCGTCGGCGGACGGGCTTTTCTCCTCCTCCGGCTGGTGCTGCCCTTTTGAATACCTCCTGCCGCTTTGCTGGAAATTGCAAAGCGCAGGGAGTTGGGGAGGGTGCGTGAATGTAGCCGGGGCGAGCCAATGAGCTGGGACCGGATGCGATATATCCTCTGGGACAACAACTGCTCTGTTCCTCCTCAGATCCACATGACGCCATTTACTGCTGCTTTTGCGGAGAGATCACCCTGCCTCCTCCGGAAAGAAGAGGGAAAAAGAAAAAGGGGGAAAAAGAAAGAAGGGGGGAGGGAGCGGGAAGGAGGGGAGGGGAACCAGCGGAGAGCGAGCAGAAAAACGCTGAACCTCTTAGGGGACGGATCTCAAACCTGCCTTCCTGCAAACATATAGCAAGCAGCAGCAGCTCTAAAATCGCTCTGATTTTTTTCTACCCTCCCCCTTAAGAAACAACCACCACCCCTTCTTCTCTCCCCCCCCCATTTGCAATTCGCAAAGCTGCCTTGGAGAAAACACACGCACTCACGTACAACACACACTCCCAGAGGAAGCGAGAGAGAGAAAGAGATCACCAACCACCTTTTCCAAAAAAAGAACAAATAATAATAATCAGACAGGAACAAACAGAAAAGATACAACCGGCTTGCAACCGATCGGAACCTGGACGCAAACGCTGCTCTTTGCTGGAAGGACTGCGCGACCTCTCCAAGCAACCTTTGGGATCTTTATAGATTTTAATTTTTTAAGAACCACTTTCGGCCGATCGCTTGGGCTTTCCTTCGCCCTCGCCCCCCCTCCATGTATGGTGCATTAAGAGAAAGTGACTTGGGATTGACGAATCGGCCTCTTGTTCATTGAGGAAAAAAAAAACCGACCAGGAAATCAACGTGTGGGATTGTAAAGGAGGGGAAAAAGCCCTCGTTCCATCTGGAAAAGAGGGCATTTGGCAGCCTGTTTTTTTTTTTGTATGTGGCTGTTTTGTTGGCTATTTATTATCATTTCTCCCTGGAGAAGAGGGAAGGGGGGCCTGGACAAACCCTTCCGAACAACTTTGCTGTGGATTTTCTTTTTACATTTCAATGATTCTTGCTTGCAACCTGGACCTGAAGTGAGTTTGGAACAGAAAAGCCGCTTCTGTTCTCTTCCATTTCCTTTTGGCTTTGGGGTTGGATTTACTCGCCAACCGCAGGAAGAAGAAAATCCGAGCGTGGGGGAGGGAAGAGAAGGGTGGGGAGGAGGGTGGCTATAACGCCGTTCCCACTGCGAGAACCCTTTTTCTGTGCAAGTTTCTCCTTTCAAAAAACAAAACAAAACAAAACAAAAAATGGGTTGTAGGGAAAAATTGGGGCAGTGTCGACTTCAGGCCGATCTCCTTTCTACAAGTTCTGCGATACTTCGCCCCTTTTCTTCCCCCTCTCCGATTCACAGAGAGTGATTGAAAATGGGGTATGTTTGTTTTAGGGCGAGTGCTTTGAGGGGGGCGCTTAACATTTCTAGGGTGGGAACAGATCACTCAGTTCCTTTGGGCTTTGGAGGATGATGGTGCGTTCCTACCCCTCGCTGTGGATGACTTTACCCTTGCACCATCGCCACTGGGGGCTGGCGTTGTTTAAAAGGGCGGAAATCTGCCCTCAGGTTAAAACTATTCCCGCAGGAGCTTTTGAGGGCGCTCCGCTGCCTCATCTTTGCCTGCAGGCAGCGAGCCACCGTTTCAGAAACGTGTTCCCGAGGACTATAGCCTTACTGGCTTGAAGATCCTGTCAAGTTTGGCTGGAACAACAATACTTCTTTGAAGCTCTCTCTTTCTAAACCTCAGTTTCTCGTATGCTACCTAGAGACAAGCCCATCTCGTGCTCAGTCACTCTTTTTAAAGCGTGTGCCATTGGAATGTTCTCTCCGTGCAATTCGGAAGTGAGCGGAAGCTAATGTAAATCTGGATGATTTTTTAATGTGGGGGTGGAGAGGTGGAAAGGGTGGAATCTTCCACTTCCAGATTGTCTTATGAACAACACTTTTTGACATCAGCTCTTCCTGTCCCTTTCTTTACTTCAGAAATGGCTGGTGACTCTTAGCTTTAAAATTGGCCTCATTTGCCCACCAGACTTTACTGCTACATAGGCTAAATGAGGGGAGAGCGTTCAGATGAAGGGTGTAAAAGGAGAACTGTTTAGTAAGGATGTATTCTGAAGGCCCGTCCATCAAATCAGATTGTTCTTTTGAAACTAAAGCTCTTCTCTAACCTGTAATGAGATAAAATGAAAGACAAGCTGGGTGTGCAACGAATCTCCAAAAGACACTTCACACCTCAGTTTGATTGTAGAATTGTTTGGCGAACGCGTGCGAGGGGTAGGCATTTCTTTCTTTGCCACTCAATGGACTTTGGTTTGCAGAAATGGCCAGGATTTTTAGCACTTATGTACCTACCAGCAGCTGCTTAATCAGAGAGACAGTGTACTTTTGAGACGGAGTTTTGTTCGTCTCCTCCAGGTCTCCAAAATAGGAGGGACATTGTGTATGTGTGGAGGGGGATACTGGGAGAATAGCCCTGTTTTTTGGAAGATCTGTCTAGGTAGAAATGAGCTTTCCCCGGGCAATACAGTTCCGGAGTTGGTTGTTTTGCAAAAGAAAGAAAAGTTCAGAGTGCTAGTTTGTAATTCATGAGATAAGGGATTTGCTTGAAATTTACACAAATTAGCCCAAATGTCGAGCAAGCTTTCCCTGGGAGAAGTGAGAGGGGGAAAGCCTGTCAAAAGTTACTTCTTGGAAGTTGGAGCTAGTGGGATTTGGGTCAAATGTGCGTGTGGACTCCGTCTCCTTACCTGTCTTGAAGGTGCATGGCACGGAGAAGAGAGGCAGGACGCTTTACATAACTGCAGGGGGGAGAGCCGTCACCATCTCCTGCTGGGAGGAGAAAGGAAAAGAGGCTGCGAGGCTTTCCTGATAAGGCAATCTTATGAGAAGCCCCATTCTCTCTCTCCACCTCCTCCCATCAGGATGTCTCCTGGTTACCGCCAGGTTGTCTGCCTTCCAATGGGGCTTCCTTTGAACAGTGTCTGGGCAACCTAGAAGAAGAGCAGGTTGCTGGCATCCCACCTGCTGGGCTGACTTGTTTGTATGCGTACAAGGGACAACCCTGTAATATGAAAGGAAGGCGTGATGGCCACTGGCAGGGGCGGCATTGGGTGAGGAGTGAGGGGAGAAGCATGAAGATGTGACACCAGTCTTTTCTGGGCTGTTACTTTATCAGAGCTTCTGGACAGGCTTGCTGCCTGATCTCAAGGGCAGGTTTACTTGGAAGTGCATTTCAGACCAACATCAGCCCTGACGTCTCCAGATCTTGTATTCTGTTTTTATTATTTAGTGTTTTTGAAAATCGGGTGGTGCATGGTGATTGTCAAGTGGACAACTGTGGCATGCTTTTTCCATCCAATGGAAACTATTGGAATGGTGTGTGGATGTTACTTTGGAGGCAAATTCAAGCAGAGTTTTAGGTATTCTGCAGAAAAGAGGTCCCATGCAGTTTAATGAAGTCTGCTTTCAAGGAAGTGAACATAGGGTCACAGTGATCTGATGCATGTTTACAAGTTCAACAGAGTAAGTTCTGCTGAATTCAGTGGGGCAAACTCCCAGATATGCATAGGATTGCCCTAAGATTGGAGTGTGGTTAATATAGTTCTCCTTTAGCTGTAAAACTATTCTTTAAACGTTAGGCTTTGCAAATGTTGATTTTACTAATTTCTATGAAATCAGGATTTTCAATCTGTTTTCTAGTTCTATACTGACAGTTTGGTTACTCTTTGTGTCTGGTTTTTTGAATTTCCATAGGAAGTTTTGTGCTGTAGGTAGCATAGTTTAAGTTGAAGCAGTTTCTTGCCAGTTTATGGATTGCATGAAGGTTATTTGTGTATTGTAGGCCACACCAACTTTTCTGGGGATGTCTAGGAAGTTAATGGATTATCTCTGGGTGTTATGAATGCACAATGAAAACCTTTACAGGGCTTAAGACCATAATGTTCAGGTACTGGTACTTAGAATTGCAAAGTAGTACACAAATACAGACCTTCTGGAGAGAGAGGTTTTGTTTACAGTGCTGATGGCTGCAGCTGCAGTAACTCAGCTAAAATGAAAATCAAAACTTAATTTCGCTAGTTTTTTTTTTTTTTTCTTGAAGCCATTGCAGAGAAGTTTAAACTTTCCAAAGACTGCTTACCAAAATGTTTACTAGATTTGCAGGGACAGACTCAAACAGCGTGTGCTTATGTGTGAGCCTAAACATATAAAGTGTAACTGAGATGAGCAGAAGTTTGGGAGCATCCTATCAAACAGGTAAATGTATCAAGGGGCCAGGAATTGCTACATGTGGCATGCTGTCTAACTACACTTGGGGCAAACTCAGCCTTCTTATTTGCAAAGTGTGAAATTGCCTAAGGAAAAGTATCCACAAGTGACTATCATGCAAGTGTGTGTTAACAGAAGAAAAATCCTGAACCCAAGCCAAAATGATATTCTAGAGATGCAGTACTATCGTTAATACAGAAATATGGGTGTTGCCTTAAGGAAAAGTCTTTCCTTTATAAGAATACATAAGAGAGCCCTCTGCTAATTTCAGGATCAGAACCAGTTGATCAGAACAGATCAGATCAGTTGGTGGGCTCCAACTCTTCCACCCAAGTTGGCATGACTTTGCTTTCAGTGGATAGCTATTTTGATGTGTGTAACGTGCAGTCGTGTTCCATAGCAAAACAACAATTCTACATGGGGAACCATAAAGTCAAAACTAATCTCCCCTTCCTTTTCTTCCTTTTCCATAGCATTTCAGATGTGTTCTAAGCTTTCTGGAGTGATCACTCTTCAGGGCACTGATGGAGACAAGAGCTCAGAATGGCGGCGGGTCACAATCCTTGCTACAGGGTCAGCATGACCGTGGAAGACAGTATGGAGAATCTGACCTGAGGGATGTTCTGGCACAGCAAATTCATGTCTTGTCCTTGGACCAGATCAAAGCTATTCGAAATACAAATGAATACACAGAACCGCCAACAGTGGCTCCACGGCCTGGGGTGAAACCCGTGCCACGTCCACTGCTCCAGCACAAGAATGAGAGACCACATGGATTGACTGAACAGCGTAATCTTAGCAGGATCCAGCATCCCCAGGTCCATGTTTCTTCCCAGCTATCGTTGTCTCGTTCCATTAGCACAGCCAGCACTGGCTCACGGGGCAGTGCAAGGACAAGTACAAGTAGTAACTCATCGCAACAAAGACTCCTTGGATCGTCTTTGGGGACAGTTGTTGATGGGATAATCCGAGTACAACCCAAGTCGGAGCTGAAATCCAGTCAGCTCAAGCCCCCGAGCAAAGAAGATCTGTGTATGCATGCCTACAGGTGTGAGGACTGTGGCAAATGTAAGTGCAAGGAGTGCACTTATCCCCGCACCCTTCCATCCTGTTGGATCTGTGATAAGCAATGCCTTTGCTCTGCCCAGAACGTGGTTGATTATGGGACTTGTGTTTGCTGTGTGAAGGGGCTTTTCTACCACTGCTCCAATGACGACGAAGACAACTGTGCCGACAACCCTTGTTCTTGCAGCCAGTCCCACTGCTGCACCCGGTGGTCCACCATGGGGGTTGTGTCCCTCGTTCTGCCTTGCTTATGGTGTTACCTGCCAGCCAAGGGTTGCTTGAAATTGTGCCAGGGCTGTTATGACCAGGTGAACAGGCCAGGCTGTCGGTGTAAAAACTCCAACACAGTTTGCTGCAAAGTTCCCCATGTCCCTCCCAGGAACTTTGAAAAGCTAACATAGCATCACTAATTGGAAGGACGGCAGATAATAAGGATACTTTTTTAACACGTATGCAGACAAGGAAATGAGCTATTATTGTGGCACTGTTGGTTATGAGGACTGGGAAGGGGAGGGTACATGGAAGTCTGTAGTGACCTACTTTTTCTCTGTGTGTTTCTTATGGACCAACTTAATGGATATGCTTGTTAGAATCCACCCAGTGGAAATCAGGATGAGGATATACTTTGCAGGACCCAAATATCACATAAGCTAACGCAGCATAGATACTCCTAGGTGATCCGCAATGGGGTGGGGTATGTGTGCGTGTGCGGGTGTGAGCACGCTTCTCAAAAAATGAATAGTACATTTGTAAATTAGAAAACTACTTCACCCCAATTATTTTCTGCCAGAGATGTGCTATATTTTTGTACATAGGATATTTTCAACTGTGAAAACATGAGTGCCATGGAATATATGGCAAAGGTCACAAAATATTATACTAATATGGTGTACATTCAAAAGAATGTGAATCAATCAGTTTGTTTTAGATTGTATTTTGCCTTAAAGAAGCCCTTCAATTGCAAAATTCTGATTTTTCCCCTTTGGACTTCATGTGTATTGTACAGTTACAGTAAAATGCAGTCTTTATTTTCTAATTTTTTTCAACATATTGTTTAGTGTAAAGAATATTTATTTGAAGTTTTATTATTTTATAAAAAAGAAATATTTATTTTAAGAGGCATCTTACAAATTTCACCCCTTTTATGAGGATGCCACAGTTGCTGCAAATAAGGGGTGAAAGATACATATGTTCCATATAAAATAGAAATATATTAACGTTTGAAATTAAACTGGGCCATTTGTCATTTTTCCCCTCCTGTTTGTTCATTTTATTTGAGAAATTTCTTATGTTAATGGAAGCTTTTCTGAATGTAAAAAAGAAAAAGCCTGAAAAACCTGCTTGATGGAGTTGGGATCCTTGAATGTCAGTAGAGTTAATGAATGTAAGAGATACTAAAGAGGAAAAAGTCAGCATCAAGTGGATGAATATTTATGATTTGAGCTAGAAGATACCTTAATTATTCTTCCATCAAAAGAAAGTTATAGTTCCTTTGTTGTTTGTTTCTCATGTCTCGTTTCATTTCTCCACCCCTTGCTGGTGGCAGCCAATGATGTGAAGCAAGACTGGGAAATGGCATGACATCAGGACATGGATTATTCTACTCAACATCATGGAGGGAAAAACAAGCCACTCAATGCAAGGCTACTGTTTTCAGCAGCCAAGTACAATACCTTTGCCTGTATCTGGTCTCTGTTATTTGTGCCTGAACTATCTCTTTTTGAGAAGTAGAGAAAACCCCACCCAAGCCTCAGGATGAAGAAGCCATTAATCACTTGAAATGGTTAATGCCAAAAGAAAAAGAATGTCTCATAGGGAGTTAGAAGACCAAATGCAGTCCAATTTATGCCAAGCATTTGGCTGGCACATAAAACGAAAGTTGCCTAGTTGATCCATTACTTGCGGCCATTTCCTCCATGAAACTCCAGAGCTTTCTGCTGCCAAGTTTCCCACTGGAAATCTAAAAAATGACTTGCCTATCTGTATTGGCAACAGGCCTGACCTTTGGTTGGTGGTGGTGTTCAAACCACATGCCTGCAGTTCATGCATTACTTGGGTGGTTGAGAAAGGGGGAAAAAACCTGCTACAAATTGTGTATGTTTGCTGATGGTAGGGTTATGACACAGACTTGGCAGACACTTGAAAGAGCTTTAGAGTTGCTGTGCATCCTTTCCAACTGGAAAGAGTTACATTAAGAGCGTAAGAATTATCATTTTGGATCAAACCAGAAGTTCCAAGTTGAGTAGAATTCTGATTCCAGCAATGACACAGCAGAGGTTTCTGGACACTGAGAAGACGCTGTCTTCTTCCAACACTCAAAGATACTTCCATCAGACGTGGGATCTTCATTTCCGAAGTGTTAAAAATGGGGTGTATTGTCGCTATCTTTTCTTTGTTCTGCTGTTCTATAAACTCTGTTACTGAATTTCGAAGATGCTGATTTTACTTTGCTCTGGAAATGCTTGTATTGGGATGTCACCTCCTTAACTTTAGGGATGTTTCTTATATCTTCACTAAATGGAATGTACTTGTAGAAAAGCTTGAAAGCCTCATAAAGAATTGTAGATTAGCTCCCATGAGCTAATGTCAGTGTGTAGGCCACTGAGAGTAGTTGCAGGTTTCCATAATGTTCACAGTAGCCTCCAGTTGTTTTCGACTTCAGCTCCCATCACTCCAGACAGCTTACTATATGGTCAGGAATGCTGGGAACTCCAGCTGAGCAAACCAGATTGGACAATCTTACTCACCGTGTGTATGTGTATGTAATGAAACAGTTGTGTGTGCCTGTATTAGTCAAACATGGAGAACTGCACACGCTTTCATGACTTTTCACTCTTCAAAAGTACATTTTGTGTAGAAAATGCATTTATCTTCCAAAAGGCAGATATTCGGACTAGCCTACAAAGTAAGGATGGGGAATGGGTTGCCCTCCAGATATTGCTCGACTAATTTTCACCATCCCTTGACATTTGCCATGCTGGTTAGAGTCCGGTAACGTTGCAGCCCACACATCTCTTACCTATGCTATAAAGAAAATAAATCAGTATATCATCCGTATTTCGACTGCTGAAACAGTACAACTGATTGAGTTGTGGGGATTGGCATGTGGTAAAACAAAGTGTCGCTTTTTTGTATGCTGCAGTATTCTTGCCTGCATTCTCAACTTGATTATGTCCATTGGCTATTGTAAATAGCAGTGGTTTGCAGACTCTGTTCAGGGCTTCCACAATGAGGATCAGTAACAACAGACATATGTCTTTGAAAGGCAATGTTCTAATCAGCTCTTGCAATTGAACATTGCAAGGAAACATTGGTACATTTATTTATTTAAAACATTTGTATGCCGTCCTTCATTACTGGATCTCAGGATGGCTTACATGATTAAAAACAAAACCATAAAACAATTGATAGAACAATACAATAAAATTATCTAACCTAGAACAAATAAATCCAATCAAAAGAAAATATAACAAAAGCGACTGTAAAACAATAAAATACTAATTTTTAAAATAACAAAAAGGTTTTGACCTGGCACCAAAAAGAGTATAGGCTCAGTGCCAGGCAAACCTCACTGGGGAGTGTATTCCATAATCTGGGTGCCACCGCAGAGAAGGCCCTGTTCCAAGTAGATGTCCATTTTACCTCCAGGGAGGGTTCTTGGAGCAGGACCTCTCCTGCCAATCTTAAGGGGCGTGATGGCATATGCAGAAGAAGACATTCCTTCAGGTATCTTGGTCCCAAGCTATTTAGGGCTTTATAGGTCAAAACCAACACCTTGAATTGGGCCCGGACTTCAACTGGAAGCGAGTGGAGTTGGTAGAGGACCGGCATTATATGAGAATAATGCCTGGTCCCCATCAGCAGTCCGGCCACTCTATTTTTTACCAGCTGAAGTATCTGGACCATTTCAAGGGCAGCCCCATGTAGAGCATGTTACAATAATCCAACTGGGAGGTTACCAGAGCATGAATCACCATTGCTAGGCAGTGCTTGTCCAGGTAAGGGCGCAGCTGATGGAGCAGCTGAAGCTGTAGGAAAGCGCTCCTCGCCACCACTGCCACCTGAGTTTACAGTGAGCTCGGAATCAAGACACTGCCCTTTAGAGGGAGTGCTACCCTGTCCAGGGCAGGGTCAAAATCACTTACCTGAAACCTCGATCCACCCACCAACAGGACTTCCATCTGTTCTAGGGCACATTAATTTGCATGAACAAAGCTGAGGTCAGGTAGGCCCTGGAACCATTTTGGATGGTAGCAGGAGAACTTTGGAACTGAATGTCACACACCACAAATCCCTGTAGTTAGAAAACTAGTGTGTCAGCTAGAAATATTCCTTCAGGCATGGCACGTTTCTTTGTTCAGAGGCCTTTAAAGTATCTTGTTTTTGTGTTGGTGTAGTAGAATATTCAGTTATTGGATCCATCCTCCAGCTGTTGGATGAAGCAGTATAACCCTGACACAGATATACTACCTTGATAAGATCTTGGTTAAAACCATGTGCCACAGCGCTGTGCAATATGCAGGAGTTCATTTGGAGATGAGATGGAAAAGTTCCCTAAAGGTAGGAAGTTTAAAAGCTACTGCTGTAAAGGCAATCATTTGATAATGCTACAGATGTCACTTGTCAAGTGCCCATCCAGCATGAAAAATAGAAGTGGCAGGAAAGAACTGTGGGTTTTTGTGTGGGTTTTGGTAATATTATATCTGACAGTCAGTGATAGTGAGGTACATATTCTCAAATCTACTTTTCCTCTGATTTTTAAACAGCTCAGGGTTTGTTCCAAGTTTGTCTTCTTAGGTGTAAATTCTAAGTCTGAACTCAACAATGAAACGAACTTACTTTCCTTTGTCCTTGCTAATGTACCCACAAAGGTCTGGCTGTCTTTCTATTGTAACTGCTGACAAAAATAAAGGATAGCCAAGATTAAATATGTACAGACAGCACAGTGTGCATTATATTGGTGACAAAGGTTTAGGGGGGTTGTATCCTATGTTATTCCTACTCTGTAGATCTATTCAACTGAATGGGACTTATATTAGCCTAACATTAGATAAAATTTTTAGACTTCATTGCATTTACAAAGCTGGGGGAGTCCCCATGTGCATCTGAGCCACAGTTCTTATGTGAACCTTCCAATTTTTTTACTGAGCTGCACATGGCTCTTGTGGCATTCAAAAGTGTAATAAAGATTGGAGTGGGCAGCCTGGCCCACCTCTGGTTGTATGTAGAACCCCTGTGTGTGTGTGGCAGGGGGTGCGTGCAGCACAACTTCTTGAACTGCCCTATTTTTTTTAACACAGTACCAAAATCAAGTTGGATTTTTTAAAAAAAAATCCTAAGATCCCCAAGAAATCTTTCCAGGGACACTTTCCCTTAGAAAAGGGTCTCTTCAGAATATACTGTCCCTTGTTTGTTCAGGATAAATCGAGTGTATTTGGCTAACTTCCAAAGCAAAGCTATTAACAAGTAAAACTAAGGATGTATAAATTGTGTTAAATCCATTCTATCTGTGTTTTACCATTTGTCAGAAGTCTTTCATTCCATCAGCTGCTCATTGACAGTGTGGTGCAGTGGTTAAGAGCATGGGACTGGGACTCAGACGACCTGGGTTCTAGTCCCCACTCAGCCATGGAGCCAGCTGGGACTTTGGGCCAGTCACAGACTCTCAGCCCAACCTACCTCACAGGGTGGTTGTTGTGGGGATAAGATGGAGGAGGAGAATGATGTAAGCTGCCTTGAGCCCTTTGTGGGAAAAAGGCAGGAGATAAACCCAAACATAAATAAACAAAACTGGCTCTTTTAAAAGCAGAACTCTGTACTTGTGCTGATTTGTATTAGCATTAACCTGCATTAACTTATACATTACATTTATACCACCCAATAGTCAAAGGTTTAACTAATGCAGGTTTGCACATGTGTCTAAGTGCTCATTAGCATTATTACAAATTAGTCTTTGCCCTCCCCAGAAGTGAAGCACTGGTCTGCAAGTCCATGGATTCTCTGTGCCTGGAAAAGGTTGGTCTGGTGTAGAATCTATCAGTCAGATTCAGAGAAATCCAAGGCACTCGAATCTGTTGTAGATTGGTCTGACACCTCCAGGCCAGACATACTTCTGCACAATTTGTAGCATGTGGACAACACAGAAAAAATATTCTGTGGCCAACACATTGAGTTCCATGTTGCACTGCATAATAGGTCCATGTGACCTCCATAGATGGCATATTCACATTG